GGTGAGTCACTTAGTGAGACAGGCCAGCTCTCAGTCAGCGGAGGAAACAGCGGCACGAAGGGGGGAATAAACTCTATCTCTGTGCAGATATTACCACATGAAGACTAAAGTGTTTTCCTGTCTCGCCTCTGCTGACAGACACCTGAAGTTCTGCTGACTGGAGACTTCCTGGGACAACTGTCAACGGCTTTAGCCAGAGTCAGAGATCCTCAGCTGGAAAAGTTGGCCAGGATGAGTTGACCCAGTAGAACGGCTCACCATTGACAAGCATATTTTAGAAGGAGAAGTGAGACAAGGTTGGTCTGGAGAGCGCAGAAGGCCTACAGTCATATTTTCCATTGATATCAAAGCCATGTGGCTGGATTTCATGGAATAGTTGAAGCAGTACACTGCATTTGGCAGTGTTTAATAGAAGAATATTAGGATGAGCATGCTGAATATGTTTTGTAATTACGATGTTGATTATATTATGGTAAAAAGGATTTACAGTGGTAACATTTTAATTGTTTATATAGGCTTTTTTAAGTTCCCATGACTGTTAGCCATAAATTTGATTATTTCCTGTCATATTTTATTAAAGCGCATGGAATGCACGTGATATAACGTTACACACAGTGATATCATTGCACATATGCAAACGGTGATCCTGATCTCATCTTGGCAGATTATCAGCACCCACTCACTATTAAAATGCACTGGTTTTCTCTTACTGGGTTTGTCTTCAAAGCATTGTATTTCCCACCCTTTTCCTGTGACAGATTCTTGCAACTATGCCAATATGTTACAGTATCCATGTAAATAAGAGCAATGATGAGATGTTCTGCTCTGCGGACCAGAACTGTTCATAACTAGCTAGTGAGAATCAGCAGACCTCGTAAAGAACAACAACATTACCCAGCTCCTCAGGAATGTCAACTTAGACAACATGGAAGCAAAGGACACAGGCCAAACACAGATAGCTTTTTCACTGTCTTCCAAGTCTGTTCCTCATTCTGGTTTTTATTTTCATTATCATCAACTCAACAAACATACATATAGCTCTGACTGACCTTAGTGTTCACATCCCGGTGGCTGATGAAAGTGCTTTGCTTAATCACCCTCTTTTTTGTTGAGTCGATAATAATTACTGACACAAAGGGTGTAATCGCCATCACACACGAGAGGTTATACAAACAGTAACATGTGGATGCACACAGGAGCCATTTCATTATTCCAACAGGCTTTGCTCACCATTAATCCCACACAACTATGAAATACACGTGTATGGGTCAAATAAGACAAAAGCTGAGTGAGACGTTTAAAGCATCTACTGTACATGTTAGGAATACTTATACAAAATGTATTATATATTTGATTTACTTTGAATTCTACTGTACCAATTACTGTGAAAATGGGGCACGAGTTTAATCCATATATTTATGTGAAACACTTTGTTGATCCTATTTGGGGCTTGCAATAATCCATTAACATATTATCCTGATGAACAAAACTACTTCATATAAAATATACAATATCTGTGGTGCTGGGGATTTATCATGCGTCTAAATACTTTTGTGAATTATGGGGCGGATGGGCGAATGATGTTCCATTTTCGTAAATAAAAAAAAGCGAGATAGGCTACCTGCATCCATGTTGGAATAGTCACACTACAGAAGTCCCCATTTAATCTAATCGGAATAACTTTTGCAGAAACCTTGTTTTAAATGCCTTGAGCAATAAAATACAACACATTTCCTTTTTGACGTCCACATTACGACTTCTTTGACGAAACTCATAAACACCCTAAAGTCGTAATATCGCTGTCTCAACTGTGTCCATTCAATAGTTCTATAAATCCACCATTGGCCTTTGCAGGGGTCTGCTCTTTTTGAGTACCATATATGAAGCCACTTTATATCAGAAACAACATTTGGAATGTTTTTAATGTATTCTTATTATGCACGTTAAAAATCGGGCAGACTCAAACTGTGATCAGACCTGTCAGTACAAAGTAAGAAGAACAGGCAAATTAAAGCTAGCGCCGTTGATTTGCACTTTGGATATTTTCACACACGAAAAAATATGAGATGGCAAATGATGAAGCGTATACTTTTTGTATTTGAAGCTACTGAGGCTACACTCCAATGTCATTACAATACATTACAAATGTCATGGAAAATAAAGAGGGGCCAACCTCAGCAAAACCACTGTATATGTGTGCGCAGTCGAGCATGTGTGCCTGCGCTTGCATCATGTACAGTAAGTCCAGTAACTCTATACCACAATGTAAATAACTGGTGCTACTACACTGTGTCCTGTAACTGGAGGAGCATCGGTGCTGTTGTGTGCATGCTTCTGCGGTGTTTGACTCATTTTGGGGCACGAGGCCCAGATGTCTGCTTTGGAAAACAAAACCTAAACAGATGAATATGGTAGAAGACAGCAGAGCACATGTTGATGCATCATGTCCACTGTCCTCAAGTTTGAAAAAGCTTTCCCTTCAAGAGTCCATTAGAGAGAACATGTTTGATGTCTCGTACTGACATTTGAATCATATACAAGTGTATTTTAATGAGATGCCTACCTTCTGGTCCACTATGGAGCACACCAGGTCTTTAACAGCGGACAGCGACAGGTCACTAGCCTCCAGGTTCACCGTCTCTCTGGTCAGCCCTATCTGCAGCAGGAAAGACACCCCATGGAAGGAGCTGCGGGAGTTTGTGGGGCTGGGGACGCTGTGACTGCCGTTGGACAGCCGGGTGTAGAGAGGTCCGGGTGAGCTTGGCGTTGTCGTGGACGACGAGGTGGACGAGGAGGATGGGTGGTGCGGATAGAGAGAGTGGAGGAAGGCTCGAGGTAAAGATGGGGGAGAGGAGGCAGACATTGGATTTCTTCCAATGGTGACGTGGAATGCTGAATAGTGGAGGTTTTAATAAAGACTGGCCAAAAAAAGCACAGTCGACTATTGGTAAGGGGAATCTTTGGTCCTCATTAGTGGGAGTGAGTCAGCACTATGTTTTTTATCCAAATGACATTGCTTTTCATAAATTAAGAGGCTAATAGGCGACTCCACCCACCTGAGCTCACCCAACACACACTCGTTCAGTAGACGGGCAGGTGAGGGAGAAAACGTGTGTGGACAGTCCGCAGACTTCTGCAGCAAAGTCACTGCAGCAAGCCTCATATCCAGAAGTGGCGCTCCTTCTCCTTACTGAAGTCAGTAATCCACTCTGACCACAGGAAGCCTGTCACCGCAAACATACACACACACACAGAAACAAACACACAGTGCTAATTTTATTATTAAAAAAAATATTCACCTATCTGAATACAGGGGTAGAGACAGTATAAGTGGACTGGTGTAAAGCAGCCCTAGTGTATGAATGAAACAACTACCCTTCTTACCTATGCGAAACCCTTTTAAGTTGAATTAATGTAGAAAAACAATCAGAAAATGGATTTCACTACAAAATTAATAAAGAAATTGTACTTTATTTTACTGAAGCCTACTTTACTAATATAACTTGTGTTGTAGACTGTTGCCTTGCATTGTTTGGTGGTAGGTGATTCCTAGGGTTAGCTTTAAGCTAGCTCATATTGTTTCATTGTAAATGGCCCGTGCTAAAGGAGCTTTAACATGTGTGTATAACATCATTAGTTTTAACTCGTTTATCTACCTTTTTTGACAATTTTGTAAACTGACAGAAGTGTTTTAACAACGTGCACCTGAGCTTGCACAACAAACAGTGCATTGGTAACGTAAAAGAGATGTAAAAGTTGATAAAGCGTATCATTTCTTTGTTTACAATAATTCAAAGTCCACAAACATCTGGAAGCAAGGCTTCTTAACATCTGCACCCCTCCCACTTTCGATAGGCGGCGGAACACAACCCGAGTCGAGAATGCCAGCAAAACAAGTTATACAAGAGCTGAATCTACACATTCACTTTATTGTAGTTCTACTATCTCCATACATAAAGCCCGTTTGCCATCAAACGACGTCTTGAATCTCTCTGAAGTAATACGTTACCTTCACAGTCAGCGAAGGGTGCTTTTCTTTCCATTGTGAGCTTACTGAAGAAACTTTGTAACTCCATCAACTGAGGAAAGCGGAGCCTGAAGTTTAAAACTCTGCACTTTGTGGAAGTCACACACCAAAGCGCAGCGACGCAGCTCACATGTAACACACACCGACATAAGTGTTACACACAGGCGTGCAGAGACTGACTGAGCCGTCCATTTAGTTATTCTTATCTTTTATTCCAGATTGTAAATTCATGCGCATCTTATTATCCTTCCAGCTGTGTCTACTCCCCCTGCCTGACGAAAAAAGAGCGGCCACCGTGGCTGGGGCTTGGAGTCTTTTTATTATCTCCGCATAACTGACTTTCCATGTGTGGGGAGGAAAACTTGAACTACAGTCCCTGTGAAGCAATGGCGCCTCCGATGGAGCTCAAGCCACTGCGCATGTGCCTTTCTTTTCCGTTATTTCAACTTGGGCATGTCAAGAAAAAACCTTTTTTTACACGACCCGGATCAGTTTGTAGTGCTGATTTCCAAAGTGGGGTCCAGCCAGGAGTCCTCAAAGGCCCTTTAAGGGGGTCCTTTATGTCCCCAGAAATATGGATTTATTTCATCTTTCTTTAAGCTATAAACAAAAAAAGAAGCAGTGTTGTAAAAAAAAAAGGGATGTTAAGTAGGTTATTGTGTCTGCTTAAGGACACTAGCATGAACAGTGCAGGTTTAATTGATTGGGTAATAGGTTAATTAACTATTACTACTTCAAAGAAAAACAGGAAGAGGGACCTGATTTTGTAAGTATCCTTACGTGTTATCTAACTGCCAGCTTGTGTTTTTCGAATGAACTGAACTGCACGGTAGATTACACAACACATTTTAGGAACTGCTCCATTGTTTCTTGGTACAGGACATTAATAACATTATATTCATTCATGACATTAGAGTCAATTTAGTGGTAAGCATGATGTTCAGTTCTCATACAAATAAAATCAACAATGACGAAAAACATAATTCAGTTTATTGACTTTTACATTGATTAATTAGTACTGTGGAAATGTGGGGTCAATTCTCTTCGCCCAAGCCATGAGGCCTCCACTGATGTCTTTCACTGTAATACTGTCCACTTCGGATCCACTCATCTTCTCCATGACTTGCACCGCCTTCTGGGAGTCGTTACCCATCTTGCAGATTACATACACTGTAGGAATCAGGAGAGGGAAAATACTGAGAGGTTAGTTTGGTGACACCAATGGACATTAAAGACTTAAAGGGGCTCTATTATGCTAATGTTCAGGTTCATACTTGTATTTTGGGCCTCTACTGTGACATGTTTAGAGGTTTTATTGATCAAAAGTCTTCATTTTCCTCATACTGCCTGTGTTGCTGCACCTCTTTTCACCCTCTGTCTGAAACCAGAGCCCAGTCTGCTCTGATTAGTTAGCTGGACGGCTCTGTTGTGATTGGTCAACTACTAAGAGATGTCTCACCCCTTAGCCTATCACCTACAATGTGTTGGAGTGCTAGCCAAGTGTGCTAGTCACAATGCAGAGTGAGTGTGACATAGTGATGTCACTATGTTACGGAAGTTTCAGACAGGGGGGTGGAGTGCGTGGGAGAGAAACTCCTTCTGGAGGGATCTTTGGGATTTTAGCCTTTGCAGAACATTTACATGCACAAAAACCTATATAACACACTATAGGAAAGGGCAGAACGCAAAAGGCATAATAGGGCCCCTTTAATACACGTCCGATTCATATGACTAATTTACTTCAAATGTTCAACCTTTACTACTTTAAATAATAAAAGCAAACACTCAAAAACGTTAAGGCACAAAAGCTGCACACATAAGTTTGAATTATACAAATGTTTCATTTAATGAAAAAGGGAAATACTTTAAATGATAGAGTTGATTGAGCATATAATAAACAACCAACAGTGTGTTGAGGCTAAATTTAGCTCATTGATAAAGAAAGCCCAACACAGTGAATAACCAGAACATCACCAAAATAACATTGTGAATATTAATTTCTCTAAAGCAAGCCAGATGCTCAGGTTGAACGTACTTGTTTTGGAAAAAGGTGTCACCTAGCAACCCCATTATAAACTAGCTGTCCAAAATAAGCCTGTGGCCGGGCAGTATGAGACCACACAGTAGCAGCGTGTGAATATGCACGAGTGCGTCTCTACTTGCCTGTTCATTTCAGACAACATGTACGGACCCTAAAGGGTGTTTGGCACGTTACCTGGAGGCCTGCAGTCACCTTCCATCTGCTGCTTTAATTGGCTGATTCTCTCCTGCAGTAACTGGATATGTTCACTCTTCCTGTACTCTAAACTTGAGAGGGGAATGTCTGGCAACAATATAAGGAGAATAATTACACAGAAATGGTAAATAGGAGATTGACTTTGTGCTTCAATCTCTAAAAAAAAGGATACTGAGGGAGGTAGGTAAGTGGCATATATCCACCTCCACAAGAGGGCGCACGTCCAACAAGAGATGGGGCTCTGCAGTGTCCATTATTGATTTATAATCCTGGAATTACATTAAAACAGTCCTTAATACACAACTATTAAACTTAATAATTAGAGAGAAGTACTGCCTTATCTCTTGGGACAAGACATTGATTTAAAACTATACAACAGGTCAACCATAATTAAAGCAAATGTTGAAATTATGCTTTGATTTGCATTTTTGGAGTAATAAGAACATTTAAAGTGCTTTTTTCTTAAATCACAGGAAACAAAACTGTTTTCTAACTGGAGCCTCGTTTTCACAATCTCGATTACAGCCCAATCAATCATGATCCCAATCTCTGCGACTAATGACTCAGCGGGTTTGAAAGCACAGATTCTCCAGAAAACAGATGCAATCCACTGTGGCTGCTCTCACTGCCAAATAGAACGTGTTATTCTTTCCCATAGAAAATCTACAGGCACATTTTAAGTCATTTCCCATTTGGGGCTGGGTCAGCGCTGAGATGTAATCAGTTTGGTAAATGCACGTGAAAACTGAGAAAATTGTGAGTAATCATAGAATAAACAGCACTAAATACAGGGAGTCACGCAATACCCAAACCTCTCTGAAGCTGGACGATATATTCCCTACCTGTACTGTGATCCTCTGATCTCTGGAAAGAAGGTTGAGTTTGCGGCACTGAAAAACATGGAAACATCAGGGCAATGAGAGATCCTATGATTACAAAATAATGACAGGTACTGTGTATTAAATGGGAAAATCAAGTTGCTGTAAGACAAAACAAATACTGTGAAAAGGACCCAGTAATACTAGGGCTCCTTTCTCTTTTGCCCACCTTATCAGTGGCAGCAGAGCCACAGAATGCCTCATAGTCCACCAGCCGGGTCACACTGGGGTTCTCTCCACACACTGCACACCCTGCCTGCTTGGGCCGCAGCTTGATGGACCTGAATCTGGCATCTTGAGCGTCGAACATAACCAGCTGTTGGCCGCAGGAAGCTGGCCAGACAGGTCAAGGAAAAGGATACACGACTTTCAGAGAATCAGCTAACATGTTTTCATTTGTGAATGAAAACCATAGCAACATTTAGGCAGGAAAATAATACAGTTCTTCCCTGGGTGACACATAGGGACCAGGTGTTAGGATTGGTATCACAATGCTGGACAGAGGGCAGGATAGGGTGAATATATTCTCTAATGTTGGTCTTTATTCGCATAAGAACACTTTTACAGCTTCAAATAGAGCTCTCATAGGAATCGCAAATGAAAAGTCAGCAGTGTTTCGGCTATATTTAATCAAAAAATGATTGTCATACCTTACTCTGCTAGAATAAAAGAAGATTTCAGCAGTTCTTTGTTGATTCATCCGGATGACAGGGCAGAAAATTGTGAAGCAAAACCTAAACAGATGAAAAGCAACAAAATGTCTCAGGAGGGCGCTGTATATAGAGTGGGAGTTCAGAATGGAAAAGGATACAGCCTTGTCCGGAGGCAATCTTGAGGACTTCCAGAGCTTGGAAGCAGCCCATTATCCCTGGAACTAAAGAAAAGTGGAAAGTTTGACTTAAAACTATCATTTACATTTGCACACACTGTACTTTGTGCACAGTTAATGGCTCCTGGGGAAGTGAAGGGGACAAAACTCACCCACTCCTAACACCCCTCCGTCAGAACAGTTGGTCACTGTCTCTGAGGGTGGGGGGACCGGGTACAGACATCTGTAGCAGGGGCCTCCACGGTAGTTATACACTGTCAGCTACACACACACACACACACACACACACACACACACACACACACACACACACACACACACACACACACACACACACACACACACACACACACACACACACACATTATAAAGTAGTGTAGCTGATGGACTCTTGCTACATGAATGTGGCCTTTCTACTGTACCTGCCCCTCCATTCTCAGAGCACTGGCTGACACCAGAGGCTTGCCACTGAGCACACAGGCGTCATTCACCAGATACCGTGTGGGGACGTTGTCTGAACAATCGGCAACAATGTCATATATGAGGTCAGCGAGGTCAAGGTGTCATCACAAATGTGTTAGTCACGTATATACATTTCCCAACTGAATATCTGAAGTCATGCAGTAAAAGCAATCATATACCTGTATCAGATATAGTTGATGGCTGTTTCCTTTTCCATAAACTAGCATATATGTAACAGTTGTAGGTTGAGGATACTGTTGAATGAGTTGCAAGGCATTCTCCGACGAGAGCTGCAGGTGGTAGGGAATACACTCTACTGTAGAGTTCAATCTGCGGACATAAAGTCACATTGAGACATATTAGTTAATTTCCTATAACATCAGGTTTGATTCTCCCTGATAAGCTACTTTAACACTATCAGAAGAGTATTCCTATCACTGTCAAATATGAGGGTAATTTTGGTGCTTCATTAAGGACCAAGAACAAACCACAAAACTGCAACATGCTAATTTTTAATCTGACATGAGACCTTACTCACATCCTGCCCTACCACCACCCTCCTAATCTTTACTTGTCTCAACTATAAAAAATCATCATCAAAAGCTGCATTATGACTCAAGACTCTTGTATTAGAAGTTGTACCTGCGAGTGATCAGTAATTACCAACTTACATAAAAAAGTGACACAGCATTTAAACCCTGCACTATCTGTTATTCAGATATATAGCGCCCTCGTGTGGTTGTGGCTATGCAATGTGTGTGTGTGGACCCCACCACAGTGGGCCCAGTGTGAAGGAAATGGCCCCAGAAAAAGCTGTCTCTAAAATAACATGTTTACAGACTTTTTGCAGACTGGGGAGGAATACACAACCAAATATAACCTGTGGTGAGACTGGAAAGCGCCAGCAAGCATTACACTTGACCAAATGGTTACAAATCACTACACACACCACTTATCATATTTAGAGAACATGTACTAATAATATCGAAATACTAACTTCTATGTTTCAAGTCTGTTTTGGGACCAATGTATGTATGAATGTAGCCCATTTGTACCTTTTAACTGCAGTAGCAGCAGACAGAGCCTTTGCCTGGTCCTGGTTCTCCTCCCCATGAAGCACCTGTCTGTGCAGGTTGCTGAGCTCCACCTCGTCATAGTCCAGCAGGCCCAGGCGCCCTGCAGAGACACAGAGAGGAAACTGTCAAACCCAAGTAATTAAACTATCTGGATTAAACCCCAAAACCAGGGTAAAGATGCATCACAGTGTGCCTTAAGCAAACATGACTGGCACTTTCTTTATATGTAGTTTTTGCCTATTCTCAAACTTTCTCATTGACAATGTGTGTATAAAATGTTACCTGAGGAAAGTATACATTTGAGCGCAGAAGAAAAAATAAATAACATCTGTTAACATACTCTTGTCCTTTTGCCAAGTTTGATTTGACAGCATCAAAATGAGTGGTATTTGTACCTGTGTTATTTACAATCTCAGTGTTATTATAGATTTGGTTTCTATACGTTTTGTTTTTCATATTCTCATGTTACATTTTTGGGATTTGAGACCTTATACATAGTGACCCCTTGTTAAAGAAGCTGTTCATCTAAATTGGAGTACTAGTGGATGTAAAGGGGAATGTGGGATAAAACTAATAAAGAATATGTTTATATTTTCTTTCTTTTTTTTTTTTTAAATGGGTGGTATGACCATCCCACCCCAGCAGGTACACTTATTCAGTTTACCAGCCACTAGGACAAATAGCTAATTAAAGACCCTGCCTAAACCCTTGTCAATTAGTCACACCCATCAGCAAATGTATTTCAGAGTTAATGATTTGATTAGTTTGGCATTAATCATTATGAATACCTACCGATGCCTGCTGCTGCAAGATACTGAGCCAGGGGGCAGCCCAGTCCCCCGCAGCCCACAACCAGCACTGAAGTCTTGGATAGGTTTAGCTGACCTGTGAACAATAAAGATTCACTTTGTTGTGGCCGGTCATGTCATGAAACTGAGTTGAAAGAATGAGAATTAAAATCCATACCTTGTACACCGAGCTCGGGCAGAAGGAGCTGCCTGCTGTACCTCATGATGTCCTCATTGCTGAGGGATGCTTTGGCTTTAAGCGGCGTTAGGGGTGTCACTTGTTCATACAGCTCCAGTACTGAGGCATTGCTCTAATATCACACCCACCAGAGAGAAATGATAACACATATAGATATAAGAAACAAGTTTAAAAAGGAGCTTTGAGCCATGTGGCATCGCAGCCCACCACAGCATGCCTTTTTAATACAATAAGCTACATATGTCTCTCTTTACATATCTTTACAGCCCATATGCTGGACATAAGGCGCTATTTGGGAAAAGCTTGATTCATATGGAGGGATTTAGGTGGCTTATTGTATGCTTATTTATATTCCATTGAGAATTTAATATGTGTTATGTGTGCTTTATCTCTTTTGCAATATCCACTATTTAAAAAACTTAAATAATTCCTTTTTCCCCTGCCTGAGGTGAACTAGTTTTAAAAACGTTATAAACGGTTAGCTTTTTTAGTCCAGACGAGTAGAGGTATAAAGTAGCATATCATTGAAATGCAACCATTATCAAGTACTTAAAAAATGTACACAAGTAAAAAAACACAAGTGAGTACATTTACTGGGTTACTTCCCACCACAGCTGTATGTGTTTTAAATGGCATGGGTCTCTGCTCCTTTTCATATTAGATGAGTTTTTATTGAAAAGTCTCATATTTTTTTTAATAGCTTAAAAACTACACTAACAATGTTATACTGGACGAGTATGAACCACCTTTTTTAATTGAATTGTAATACTTCTTATATTCTATATGAAGTTTTCTCATTTAAAACTCTTGGGTCTGTTTCAAGAGTTTACATGTCATGTGACTTCTAATCATCAGAACATTGTAACTACTCTAGAGTAGGACACATCTCCGGAGTATAATGCCTGTGGGTTATCAAACCTAAAAGTAACGTTACTAAGGGGACAGAAAGGTAGTTCAATACAGATATAACCCGTTAGTTAGCTGTCTATCAAGTTTCACTTTTAACATAAGATTTACCTTATTGGCTGTAACGTGCTGTTATTCTGGACTATATTGATACGCCATAAACCCTAAAGGCTATAAACTAATAAGGCGAATATATCATAACATCATGCTTCAGTACGTAATAGCATTCAGTAAGACGTTCGTACCTTTTCCAGATGTGCCAGTTTATTCTTCAGAGCGACTATTTCTTTCTCTTTCTCCTCGAGCTGTACATTCAAAAAGCCCACCTCGTCAGTCATGGCTTCTGTTTGAAAACACGTGCAGTTGCAAACTAAATATGTATATATAAAACAATTCTATAATTAAAAATGTGCCACTATTCAACAGTGTTAGAGAAACATGTTGACAAATGAAGCACACGCGCACAAACTTCCGGGTTAATCACGTGACAACGAGCCACGTGTTAGGTGACGTATGAAGCGCTGATTTCCCACTAAAATAAGCAATTCATTTGTAATGCTATGAATGTATATTTGTAAAAATAGATGTTGCATTAAGGTGTACGCGTACTTCACACAGATGCATTATAAGTAGGCCTATCTATACGATAATTTTAAAATACAGGCTGGCTATTACTTGGTGTTTTGGGGTGTGTTTTTGTGAATTTCTATAAATCTAAAACGCTGACCAGGAATTAGGTCATGCCATAACTCTGATGCAGCAAAGTGTTACCAACCACACAATTCTTGAAGTCTTGAATTGTTTTCTTACAACCTTTATTTGGTAACAAATATATTTCTAACATTACCGAACGTGTTTACTGTGAGTGAATGAATCGTAAACACACACACACACACACACACACACACACACACACACACACACACACACATACAGATGCTAACAGGTGTGTTGTACTGAGTGTGAACACTGATTTG